TGCGAGGTAAACAAATTGAATGGCGGACTCATTCTCACAAACTTACGTAAGTGTCATAAATTATAATGTACAATTAATTGATTTGTTTAAGTAAAGCCTGTGCAAAATAAAGGTAAATTAGAACTATCTGTAAACACATTTCGACTATATGTAGCTATACTATGTACCATTACACAACAATTTTACATTTATATAAAATTTTTACATAAAATTATCAAGAGCGACTAAGCAAATTTTTTTCCCATTTTTGACAATTTATCTGTTGTGTACAAAACTTTTAATTTTCTTGTGATGAAAACAGTTTGATCAATCCTTGAAATAAAACTTTCTTTATTAAACAAAATACAAATAAGAGGATGGAGTAAGAGGGTGGGTTGGTGGGTGGGTGTGAATGCCGCAAAGCAAAGCCTTCGAATGAGTTCAAAGTGTGATTAAATTGAATACCTGTTCCACAGGTATCGTCCTTTAAATACTGACCAACAGCTACTGTCGCTTTTATTAGCACATAATAAACAAAAGCACGTGTTCCTAATACATATGATAAATTAATAGGCTTTTTCGAAATCTATAAAGTTTATCATAAGCTGTCTTTGCCACTCTGTACATTGCTCTATAATATTTCGTGGGGGTAAACACTTGGTAGCAACAACTTTTCCCTTTCCTAAAACCTGCTTGCTCTTGTCTTATTTTGGCATCCTTTGCAGTTTTAATTCTGTCGATTATTATTCTGCTGAAAATCTTACTTGGTATAGATAGTAATGTGATGCCCCTCCAGTTATCGCAGTTAGTAAGATCTCCCTTCTTTGGTACTTTAATGATATTTCCTTTGGACCATGTCGTTGGTATTGTGTTATTATAGTCTGGTTCGATTTATAGAAAAAAATACTTCTAACGGCAAATAATTATTATTTTGTCCAGCATAGTTTTTTAACCTATTTCGAGTATGCTAAATCCGAAAAAATATGCTGGCTTTCATGAAAATGGCGGTAAATAGGTCAAAATGGCGATTCAAAATGGCGGATATCAAATTTTTCAAATTTTCTCTTAATATCGTTCAAAAAGGAGAAATAATGTGTGAATATCTCACTAAGTGTAATACAAGTATAAAAATGATAATAGAATGCTACCATTATTAGTTTAACTCAGAAAATTTAGTCGTTTCTCCACGCAATTCGAATTTTCTCTGATTTTTTGTCTATTGTTATATATTCTGCTTTGTTCAGGATCTCACATTTGCATATATCATACACTGCAGATTTGTATTTTTTCCTCTACATCTCACTATTCTACAAGTGAATAATGGTGCAACTGTAAGTTAAAAGTCAAAATGGCGATTCAAAATGGCGGATATTTTTTTTTTCAAATTATTTCTTAATGTCGTTTACACAGGAGAAAGGATTTGTGAATATCTTACTGAGCGTAGCACAACTACGTAAATTTCCAAAAAACACTAATATCATCACTTTAATTTGGAAAATTAAGTTGTTTAAATTTGAAATGTCTTAATTAGCTCAAAATGGCGATTCAAATGACGTCATATTCACTCGAATTTCGTAAAAGACTCAAACTGCTGAAATCTGATTCGTATATATATATATATAGTGTATTGATTAGTCCATAAAATATGAACAAACAAAAAATACTAGAAAAGATCCATTTTTTCTGGAAATAGTTAAAACAATCTCAACTTAAGAGTTTCCAAATTTTTCCCTCGTATTCGACCGTGTTCCAAAGCCTTTGAGACCTGTCCACCTAAAATCACTTCTGAATCCTGTCATTATCAACTCGCTCTTCTAAATCAACATCCCTCAGCACACCATAAAATATAATCTGAACAAATTTTTGTCCGATTTCATCGAACACTTTGTTCCAGATTTTTAGTACTTATAAGAACTTAGTATTATCCCCTTACATCTTCTATTCCAAATTTATTTGCTAAATGTTTCAGTCAGTCTTCGGAATTTTGGTATTGTCAACACTCAAGTAAAATGGTGCCCCGTGTCAAGGATGACAACCCCCTTGGCACGTAAAAGATTGTTTCTCTGGAGTTCGAAAAAAAGTAAGCTCACTTGGGGCCGCTAGAGAAACCAAAATCCTTCAAAAACCGATTATTTAAACAGATAGTCCACCGAAACGTGGCTGCAAAATTGCCGACTCGGCGTTAAACAATATAAAATCAATCAAAAAACACTCAAAAAACAACACATTTATGTTCAAATGTTAAAAGTCTATTTTTTTCAAAAACCTTATGCAATATGAATTAGAGGTATTGTGAGCAATTAGCTAACTAAATGATACCCCCGTCTCCCAAAGGAATATAATGATAGTGTCCATGTTTTACTTTGGAAAACTCAAAATATGTGTCGGATCAAAAAGTAAAATAAGAGGTGCACAATGGTATTATGTAATAAAGATTCTGTGAAAGTTTCATCAAATTCAATTCAGTGGTATGAGAGGAGTTGTGGATAAGAGATGGGTACCCCAAAGCGTAACAGACATACGGTCGAACGGACGTACATACCGATTACTCTATACCCTCCCGCTTTTCAACCGGGGTGGGGAAGGGGGGTATAAAAAAACTCTGATATTTAAGACATTCAGCTCTTTATTTCGTGACCACGTTTAGATTTGTTGTCTTTTAGGGTAGAAAGGTCATTCTATTAGCAAAAAAATTCTCAAACGTTATCATCTGGAATCATATTGTGTGCATATTTTGATGAGAAGAGTTTTGTAATTATGCAATTTAAGAGCGTCTGCAGATTTCTCGTGATTCCTATCACTTACAAGCTTTCGTAGCAATAGGCCTAAGCCATTCTTGACTTCGATCTAGTCAACACTTCTCTTGGCAACAAAATTTTCTTTAACACTCCAAAAACTTTACGAGGCAACTTGATCCACACTTCTTTGCTAGGGTAGTTAAGGTTGTATCAAGAATCGAGGGGGATTGAACACAAACATTTTCTTCTTTCATATTTTATAAATTTCATATTTTTAAAATTTATATAAACTGTTCAATACAAAATCATGCGTTCACAACGTAAAATATTTGAGAATGCAGTTGAATTTTTGACTGAGAATAACAAAATGCAAATGTAGGGACACAGAATCAGAGCTGGAAAATCAAGAAAAATCCATCATTTTAAAAAGCATACTAAGTTATGTTGCACTAGACCTCCCACATGACCATAAACATTTTTTTCTACATTGGACTATGAAAATAGATCAAGAATTTCCAACAACTGATATGATTTAGCAACCCTCGAACTACAATGTCCTCTCGCCTTAATGCTCAAGGAATACTGCTCTTGGGGTAGCTTAATTTTCATATTGTCTTCAAAATAGCAATTAGTATATGCTATTTATTAATTAACTTTAATATGAAGAAGCATGGAGAGACAGATAATAGGTAAAATGTCTTCGGAATTGTCATATATTTATCTTAATAACAGAAGTAATTAAACAAAAATCCGTGTTATAAAAATCCTAAATCATTAACAAAAATATCCTCCAACTTTAATTGCATTCGAACATTATTTTATGTAAAAAAAAAAAAAAAAAAACAGCCTCTAAATATATTTTCTCGAATCAGAATTAAGCAGTTTGGGTATTTTACGAAATTCGAGTGTGTAAGACGTCATTTGAATTGCCATTTTGAGCTAATTAACACATTTCAAATTTAAAAGACGAAATTTTCCGAATTTAAATGATACTATCAGTGTTCTATTGTCATTTTACATGGTTGTACTACGCTCAGTAAGATATTAACAAATCCTTTCTCTTATGTAAACGACATTAAGAAATAATTTGAAAAAGAAATGAATATCCGCCATTTGAAATCGCCATTTTGACTTTTGACTTACAGCTGCATCATCATTCAGTTGCAGAATAGTGAGAATGAAGAGGGAAAAAAAACAAATCTGCAGTGTATGAATATTTTCAAATGTAAAACTCTTAACAAAGAAGAAAATAGAAACAATAGACAAATAAATAAGAAAATTCAAATTACGTGTAGAAACGACTAAATTTTCTAAGTTAAACAAAAAAAGTTAAAATTCTATTTTCTTTCTTATAGTTTTTTAACACTCAGTAAGATAATCACTCATTATTTCTCCATTTTGAACAACATTAAGAGAAAATTAGAAAAATTTGATGTCCGCCATTTTGAATCGCCATTTTGACCTATTTACCGCCATTTTCATGAAAGCCAGCATATTTTTTCAGATTCAGCATACTCGAATTAGGTTAAAAAACTATGCTGGACCAAATAATAATTATTTGCCGTTAGAAGTTATTTCTAGCCTTCTTTTTAAATATCAGGACCAGACTATTATTCCAGATCTGGGTGAATAATTAGTGTAAAATGTCTGCTGCAAGGTTTGGATCTGCTTTGAAAAAACTCTGCTGGCAGTTGATCATTTCCAGGTGCTTTGTTGTTCTTAAGGGCTGTTATTGTTTTGAGTATTTCATCTTTAGATGGTTCCTTTCTTTCAATTTCTAAATCAGTGTCAGCTTTCGGTATGTGTGCCAGTTCGCTAGGCTCCAGGCGATTCAACACTTCCTTAAAATTTTCCAGATTTGATCGCTGATTCTTTATTATGGGTACAGAAGATTCTTCTTATATAGACTATTTATTACACTGTAATGATGATTTTATCAGTTTGTACAAGCCAGAGGTCATAACTTTTTTCCTGTCACATGCTGAATACATGTATTATCATTTAGTAAATAAAAAACGAGGTATTTAAAAAAAAAACTGTATAGGATTTGAACCCGGAATCTCTCAAATGTAAAGCGGAGTCATTAATCAGGAGACAAAAGGGATATTGTTGCATACATATAGTGATAATAGATGATCAAATATAACTTTGTAGTACTGGTTAAAGCGAGGTTGATATATAACAATCATGTGAGGTCAAAAAGTATATTTTCGAGAGGTTTTGTGAAAACTTTCAAAATGAAAGGAAGTTACAAAGCCGAGCATATGATGTTTAACTAACGTACGTGCAATATATGCACTTAATAATGACTGACCTGATTTCGTAGGGATTGTTATTTCGAAATTCAGGTCCAGGAAATCCAGGTAATTAACAGGTGTCTCAAAGGTATGTTTTTTTTTCCCGTTTGGAATAATTAAATAATAAGTGCATTAATTTTAACACTAGTACTTTCGTTTTTTTTTTCTTTTTTTCACTCTTCTTGTGTTGTGTTTTAGTATTGCTTCTAGCTATATAGTTCGTTTGTTTACATAGGACTATAGAATTGATAAAGCATGATTTTTTAAATACAGATAATGCTTACTCTGTCTTCAAAGAATAGAGTTCAACAAAGTTATAAGCAGACGTATGAGAATTCTACAGTATCTAAATGTATGTTCACATGGTTCATGCAGAGGCGTTGTTTTCATTTGTTGACTTTTACGGAAGCCCAATGGTGCAAACCAAAAATATATAAAGAAAAACGGAATTAATATATAAAGGAAAACCAAAAATATATAAAGGAAAACCAAAAATATATAAAGGAAAACCAAAAATATATAAAGAAAAACCAAAAATATATAAAGAAAAACGGAATTCATATATAAAGAAAAACGAAATTAAAATATAAAGAAAAACGGAATTAATATATAAAGAAAAACGAAATTAATGTATAAAGAAAAACTAAATTAATATATAAATAAAAACTAAATTAATATATAAAGAAAAACTAAATTAATATATAAATAAAAACGAAATTAATATATAAAGAAAACGGAATTAATATATAAAGAAAAACAGAATTGATATATAAAGAAAAACGAAATTATTTAATAAAGATAAACGAAATTATTAAATAAAAAGAAGAGTGAGGGAGAAAGAGAAAACATCAACTGAAACAAATACTTCAATCTAATGTCTGAGGTAAATTGTCAATAATTGTTCAGCGGTATACGTAATTTGTTGATGTGTAGCATTATGCATAGAGGATCATGAGGGTGGATGTTTCTGCTTGATTGAAAACAATGAAATCCAATTCAAATCGCTTGAATCGCTGAAAGGTCAAGACCTTGCTTATCGTATTAAAAAATTCCCTCCGGAATAAGCCTAGCGCCCCATCTGTATATTCATAAATCACGGGTTGTTGAAACAAAAACGAGGATGATTTGATTACTTCGTGACTATTTTTACTTCTACATTCCCCTCATTTCATAAGGACGTCGCAATACAAGAACACATTTCTAAAATGGCATTTTGTTCTTCTTGTTGACATTTCTAAAATTCTTCGTCCAGCATGTCCCTGTCTGGCGCTGAAGACACACTCACTGTGGAATGAACCACGCGTGACTGGAACCCTTATCCTCGCGTTTTGTTTTGTTAAACTTATCAACGATGCTATCTTAATTTAATAATTTCGTTTTTAGCTCACCTAAGCTGAAAGCTCAAGTGAGCTTTTCTGATCACATTTTGTCCGTCGTCTGTCTGTCCGTCTGTAAACTTTTCACATTTTCGACTTCTTCTCATGAACCGCTGGGCCAATTTCAACCAAACTTGCCACAAAGCATCCTTGGGTAAAAGGGATTCAAGTTTGTTCAAATGAAGGGCCACGCCCTCATTCAAGGGGAGATAATTGGGAATTAATGAAAATTTGATGGTATGTTTTAAAAATCTTCTCAAGAACCACTGTGTCAGAAAAGATGAAACTTATGTGGAAACATCCTCAGGTAGTGTAGATTTAAGTTTGTTTAAATCATGACCCCCGGGGTAGGGCGGGGCCAAAATGGCCGACCAAAGTTTTACATAGAAATATATGGGAAAATTCTTTAAAAATCTTCTTCTCAAGAATTGCAAAGACATAAATGTTCATATTTATATGGAAGCATCCACAGGTAGTGTAGATTCAAGTTGGTTCAAATCATGACCCCTGGGGGTAGGGCGGGACCACAATGTCCGACCAAAGTTTTACATAGAAATATACAGGAACATTCTTTAAAAATCTTCTTCTCAAGAATAGCAAAGCTATATTTGATCATCTTTATATGGAAGCATCTTCAGGCAGTGTAGATTCAAATTTGTTCAAATCATGACCCCCTGGGATACGACGGGGCCACAATGGCCGACCAAAGTTTTACTTTGAAATATATAAGAAAATTCTTTAAAAATCTTCTTCTCAAGAATAGCAAAGTTATAATTGATCATATTTATATAGAAGCATCTTCAGGTAGTGTAGATTTAAGTTTGTTCAAATCATGCCCCCCGGGGGTAGGGCGGGGCCACAATGGCCGACCAAAATTTTACATAGAAATATATAGGAATTTTTTTTTAAAAAAAAAATCTTTTTCTTATGAATTGCAAAACCATAATTGGTCATATTTATATGAAAGCATCCTCAGCTTGTGCAGTCTCAGGTTTGTACAAATCATGACCCTGGGATGGGGGGGGGGGGCGAGCCACAATGACCAATAAAGTTTTACATAGACATATATAGGAACATTCTTTAAAAATTTATGTTCTAAATAATACCAAAGCCATGATTGGTCATTGGATTGCTTTTGGATTTAAACTTTTTAATAATAAACCAATTTCTATACTTTTTCCTAGCCACAGTGCTCAGGTGAGCGATTGGGCCCATGGGCCTCTTGTTCTTTACTTAATGATTTTGTTTTTCTTTATTTAATAATTTCGTTTTTCTTCATTTAATAATTTCGTTTTTCCTTTATTTAATAATTTCGTTTTTTCTTTATTTAATAATTTCGTTTTTCCTTTATTTAATAATTTCGTTTTTCCTTTATTTAATAATTTCGTTTTTTCTTTATTTATTTCTGGTTTGCACTATTGGGCTTTGTAGAAGCCCATTAGAGCTCAGCTAGAAGGTCACGACCTTGCGTATCGTATTACTGGATTCCCACGAACTAAACCTAGCGTCCGAATCTGTGTACCCATAAATCTTAGATTGTTGAAACTATAAGAAAAATGATTTCATTACTTTGTGGGATTTGTTATTTACAAGTGTGTGCATTGTCACCGACTTATAAATACACAAATTGAGAGTTTGTCATTTAAAATATATGAGAGCAAGAACTATAGTACCACTGACTCATAAATAGTACATATTGAGAGTTGGACATTTATAATATGTGAGAGCAAGTACTTAGTAGCCAGTACATCACCTCTAATTATGCGTTGATAAGATCACAGAATCAACTGAAGGTGATTTGCTTTATTTCTAATATAGTAAACAATCATAAAAATCTACTTGTAACCACTTTGACTTGTTTTACTTTTTGCACCTGTTCTCTTTAAACAATCTTTTTTAAAAATGTCAAACAAACCCAAGTCCGATCGATAACGTATTATTTTACATTTTTAATGAATATATTGTGCGATAGTTGAATAATGGATAAGGGATTCCTGAATGTTAAATGTTGTAAACAATAGAATCTTAAAGTTCATGTTTTCTTAAATAGTTGTGCAATTAGATATCAAAGATTAAATCCTCCCCATTCATGTATTGTAATGGATGTGTTTTCGACATAGGAAAAGGTGAATGTAAAGGCAAACACCACGCTTGTTTATTGTTGAAACAAAATCAGGTCTATCAGACGCGGTGCACTCATGATTTATGGGTTCAGACCCTTACCGTGCACCTCAATAAATTCCGTATTTTAGTTGAAGTTTTTCTACTTTTAACAATTTCGTTTTTCTTTATGTAATAATTTCGTTTTTCTTAATATATTAATTCCGTTTTCTTCATATTAATTTCGTTTTTCTTTATATATTAATTCCGTTTTTCTTCATATATTTTTGGTTTTTCTTTATATATTTTTGGTTTTTCTTTATATATTTTTGGTTTTCCTTTATATATTTTTGGTTTTCCTTTATATATTTTCGGTTTTCCTTTATGTATTAATTCCGTTTTTCTTTATATATTTTTGGTTTACACTAAATGGGCTTCCGTAGACTTTAGCATATGACTACTTCATAGATGTATTTTTTTTTAATTTTTTTTTTACTCAGAATAACTTTGTGATAAATTGCTTTTCTATCTTTGCATATATCTACTTCCAATATTAGTTTGTTTTCTCTTTAATACACACAGCTTTCTGCGTACGTTAAAAATGAAAATAAGCAAAACACAAAAGGTGTTTTTTGTATTTAAATTCCCTTTTTACAATCTCTGTAAACATGGCGGCATGATATAAGGAAGCCCAATAATGCAAATAACATAAAAACTAAGTTTTAAAAAACTTCTTTACAAAATTAATCAAAGTGCTGAAAGAACTGAAAGCCGGGCTTTAATTGCTAGAGTATATAGAGTAAATATTTTCCCCTTTGACCATTGATGTTTAACAGGTAGAGATTTTATGGTCATGATTAACATGATTAACAATATCCCATATACCAGTTATTAAATGTATCAGACCAGACCCCAAGATATGTTATGATTTTAAAATATAATAAATAATATTCCAAAACATTCTAGCATATTTTCTATTCAATAAGCATTTTTTCTCTCATAATTTAAAAATTCAGTCAGCACATGTTTTAGAAACATTCTTTTAGTGTCAAACAAACAGTACTTTATTTATCGCCAAGCATAAGCACTGATACATGTACATTGCCAAGCTACTTCAGGCATTATGCATATTTTTTAAAAACTTAAAATTGTAATTCACCATACTAATAATTTGCTAAAAATAAAAACAGAATATTATCACTAACATAAATTCGACGAAAATGATATGAAATATGAAACTCTTCACAAATTTTAACCTTTCGAAAAACATGCGCTATTAAAAATTGTTCGCTTACAATATGCATTCAGCAGCGTATATGCACAATTTGTTATAGATCTATACTGATTATCATAATAAAGCGATAGTTGGTTAATCAAAATATTAATCTACTTCAAGCACAACTACATACCGAATTTTGTCTAAGGATCAAAATCTTAATTTAAAAAATAACAACTTTTTGAATAGAACAACAGAAAAATAGGAAATTCAATATTTTCCAATTGACAATCCGGCTGAATCCGCTAAGCTCTATATGTGTATTTGTGCATGTATTATATAGCATCCCGTTTTTGTATTGTTTTGTGATCATT